TTCCAGCTACTTGGAAGGTTGAGGCGGAAGGATCGCCGGAGCCCAGCAGGTCAAGGCTGTAGTGGCCGGGAGCGGCCACTGCATTCCAGTCTGGGCGACTGAGTGAGACTCCAATTCAAAAAAAACCCCAACAAAAACAAACAAACAAACAAACAAAAAACAAAGACACCGGTCTAAGCCTCTAATTTGTCACCACCCAGAGTTGTAAAAGCCGATGGGAACCTCGGAGGCAGAAGCCTTTCCTTGGTTCTCCTGGCTTCGTGGACCTGCTCCCATGACTTCTCAACATTTAAGTAGGCTTCCTGCCGTATCATGGTGTCCACATATTGATCATCCCCCGTTTCTTTTCCATCTTCCTCCAATCTGTTTTCGACTCTGTGCTCCAGTTACTAATCCCTTCAGTCATCACACCCCTGCTACCCCATACCTCAGTGTGCTCCTAATTATCTACTCCCTCAATTGTCCCCTACTTCCCTCGTAGCCGCCTCCCGCCCAGCCATCTCCCCCGCGCTGGTTCACCCCTTCAGTCCACCAGCACCTGATTCGGTCCGCTGGGCGCGTCCCGACCGCTTTAGTGCGCGGACACTTCCTCACGACGTGGCGCCAGAAGAATATGTCATCTTTGAGCGCTGGGACACGCCCCCTCCGTCGCGGAATGGGCGGGGCCCTGCCCTGCGCGTGCGGGCTGAGAGGCGGAGCGACGGGAGCGCGCCGAGCCTGTAAATTGCACGCTCCCGCCGGGAGATAAAGGGAGCGCGGGTGAGAGCCGAACTCTCGGGACCGAGCCTGGCTTGAGGCCAGGCTTCTGGCCACGTGCTTGGGAACCGGCTAGGGAAGGCGGAGTCGAGCCCGGAGAGGGAGCGGAGAGGTCTGCAGACTCAGATTGGGAGGCCTCTGTGAAATGCGCTACGGAGATGTGCGAGAGGGCAAGAATTAAATGTCCCACCTCAGAAACTGAGGAACTTCCCGGCCGCAGAAGGCAGTTTAGGTCAGCTGAGAAATGCGGCAAGGCAGCGCGTCCTGTCAGCTGGGCCCTACCTAGGAATGCCGCAGAACGGGACTTCGTTAAAGCCCAGTACAACGTAACTGTAAAAATTGTTGCTATTCTGTTTTAGTGGATTTAATCGTTTGGGAAGAAGTCAATCTCACAGACGCACTGAATATCAATTCATTTTGTGTCGATTTAAGGCTGATATTTAGGGCGCACAGATTCCCAAGACCCAGCCAAGCGAACTCAATAAAGTCAGAAAGAACTCTGCCGTGAGAATGACTTCTAAGGCAACACAAAGATGCTCGCTTTGGCAACACTTGTACTAAAATAACCAAGGCCATCAACTAACCTTGGTATAAAAAGAAAAAAAAAAAACAAAACTAAGGGCATTGACTGTGTACCAACATGATCAAAGAAAGCCCTAGAGATGCAGTCTCAAGCTTTTCCATCTCTCCTGCTTTGTAACCTGGGGAGTAACTTTCAGCCTAGGTTAATTTTGCAGAAGACAACTTATTGAAGCCTAGGACTTTTCTGCTTTGAGCAGTCACTGTCAGCTTTGACTTTTGGTAGTAGAGTCACAAATTCCCTGGAGTGGATGTATGAAGTGTCTTAACTTTACTCTCAAGTTGCTAGGCTTGAGAATTTAAACCAGCTTGTTTCCTTGCACTTCGTTAATACCCGCTTTGTCTCCAATTTTTCCTTTTTGAATTTTTCCCTTAGTGGAAGACAGGATGCTTTTAAAAAGTGTGTTTGATAACTTGTGATACAGAAAAACATAGTTTTTATTAGGATAGCAAACTATGGCTCAAAGAAAGTGTTTATAAATAGTTAGCGAATCTCCTCTGGCCTCAATTACCCCAGTTTCACATCACATTTCCCTCCTTGGGGTGCTGCAAGGGGTTAATTAAGATTTGTAAAGGGCTTTGAGGAGTAGGGGACAAAGTATTATTAGGGTCTTATGCCCCAAGCCATGGCCTCATCCTTTCATCCCAGCCAGTGGCACAGGCAACTCCATTCTTATGCATGCCAAGCCCCTAATCCCTTCTTGAATGTGGCAGCTTCCAAGGAAAGGACAAGAGGCCTTAACTAGAAACAAAAATCCACTGTAATGAGGTGCTAAGAGGACTGAACTTTCAAGGTTCATTCCTAACAAAGTGGCTGAATAGAAAAACTTAATGATTCTTCTGTGACTTTTGAGTCCCAATCCAAGAGAAGGTGGGAATTATGGGAGGAGAAAAAAGTATCTGACAAGGGGATGACAGTTTCAGTACCAATAAGTCTTTATTTATTTTTCCCAGGGAAAGAAGAAGGGAAGAGAAAGAGTCAGCATGTGTGTTACAAAATGATTAGAAAATGGGAAATACCCAATACAGCAAATCAACCATCAAACACACCCCTGTGATGGGGTTGCCATAGCCCAAAGGGGCTCAGTCTCCTGCAGTTCAGGAATTAAGGGATCAGGAAAAGAACAGACAGGTACAGGCTTTCCTACCCTCCCTCCCCATAAATTCAAGATTTCACACAAAGCTTTGGTTTCTAGCAGTAAACATGGAGTTACATTCGTCCGTCTCCTATTAAACAATCTTGTGGCCACTTTGACATAAGTTTCTTGCACCTGCATAAAAGTTCCTGAGTGACTTGGATATACATTCATATTCCCTTTCTTGGCCTCCTGACCCCACTTTCTATATGGAAGGCCCCCAGTTGTTTTTCTCTACTTTAGGCTTTTAGACTAAGCAGGCTTGATCCATCCAAAATACAGCAGTGCCCTAAGTGTTTGGCATGAATCACATCAAGAAATGATCTTGACTTAGAAGGTTGGGAACAAGGGATGGAAGGTTTCTAGCCTCTACGATTTTTGCATAAATCTTTTAAGAGTTGTAGAGAAACCCCAATAACTAAATTGTATGTGTGGGTGGGTGTGTAGGTTCTCTTTTTGGGGGAAGGGATAGAAAAGAGAGGGAGAGTAGGAGACAAGCTTTTAGGACAGAAGATCTGGTCCAAAATAGAAAATAGGGGAAGGGGGGCACAAAAGAAAGGATGGTTCAAGATCCCCACTTGAAGAGGGCCCCCAAACTAATGTGTCAGATCCTTTTTCCTGGTGCAGAACCTTCTGTCAAAGATGCTTTGGCTATTTTTCTCTCAATACAAAAAGAAGTTTGTAAACAATAAAACCCCAAAAATACATGGAGGAAGACCAACACATATTTACACAAACTAGGCCACCTAGCAATCACCAACTCAGTGGAGTCCTACAAAGCCCAGACAAATACAATCACTAGAGGGGGGGCAGCATTTAGGGAAGACAAGAAACCCAGGATCAGATACACACCACCCAATGCATTCTACTGCATTTGCCCCATTTCAACACAGTGAGGTAGGTTTGCAGTGATCTCACAGCATGTAAACGAAACCCCCTTTTTCTCCTTTAGCTACCGATACTTAATCACTACTGTAGCAGTGCAGGATGTTGGCTCCGGGCACCCACAAAGAGGCCCTTGCTATGGGTCTCCCTGGAACCCAAGAATTTTGAAAGGTTAAGGATTTCCATCCTTGCTTCATTTATCCATCCCTTGATACAGTTTGAGTAAAGGTATTAGTCTTAAAACTCATCCTTACCAACTCACATTTTTTACGAATGAACACACACACATACACACCCACCCTGTTGTGCATGGTAGGCCTAGCCTAATCCGGTGAAGGATGGATCTGGTATGTAAAGCATGTCCTGTGCCCTAGGATTAGACAACCTTCACCTAACTTTGGCTTCCACTCTGGGCCCTTCACCTGGCCCAGCCTCTCAGTCACTCTGCACCACCTATTCATGTTTAGACTTATTTCTAATCTTTCAGTAGGAGAAGGCCAAGTCAGGGGGCAACCCAATTAAAACCTAGTCCTCCCATGAAACATTTCAAGGTGGAGGGGGTTTCAGGCGGACACTATGGCAGAAAAGCCAGCTCTAATCGGCAAAAATGAGGTAGTTCAATAGGCTATGCACTCCACGTAGTTGCTCTCCATGGTGATAAAAACAACAACAAAGAGTATTCCTGCTGTGCAGACCTGGAGCTGCTGCCGACTTATCCCTGAGATTGCTCATGTACCTGAGAACACAGTGCAGGAATGAGGGCCTTAGATTAAAATATACAAAAATACAAACCCAGAATATTTATATTAAGAAAAAAAAGTTAAAATGCACAAGATACGTCATTCGCACACAGCTAGTGCAGTTGGCATCCTGGAGAAAGTGGGACCCAAGGTGCAGTTATCCGAGGGAGCAAATAAATAAAATCACATTGGCCTAGAGTAGGGTGGGAGTCACTGTAGGAGCAGCAGGTCTGCAGCTGTTCCTCTAACCACCCCTTCCCGCCTGTCATCACTACCCATTGCTTGGGACAGTTGCCAGCACCTTATCCCAAGAGCGGGTATGAGGATACAAGGTGTGAAAAAAGCCCTGCCTTACTGAGAGACTCTCCTCCTACAGGATATAATGGTTTGAGTTCATTAATATGGTCTTATACTTCATCATTTCAATCTGGCATGGGAATTATTCTTAAGGATCCTTTTTTAAAAGGAAAACAACTTCCCTATTCAGGCTACTTTCAAAAGTTTAAGATTCTGGAGATGGAGCCTCGATAAATTATGCAGGTTCTAGGGTGATATCCCCCACCCAAAACCCTCACTTGCATTTGGACAGAGCATGGTTGGAGTTCCTTTGCCTCACTCCTTCTCCCCACCAAGAGGGAAGAAGGGGTGATACTGTGAACCCCGGCCTGAGATACATGGCAGTGCCAGCTGGCCCCAACCCACCATATTCCCACTTTCTCCACTCTGCCTCTTCCTTGAAACTTTCTAATAGCAAAAGAATAGCCACTGTCCAATGTGGCTCAATTCTGGGCCTCTGGGAGCAGGGCAGGGCTGTGGATTTCTTCTTCTTCCTCACGAAAGTAGGCTGGCTTTCCCTGTGTACTAGGGGCCTGCTGGGCCTTCAGTGGACATGAGGCTACCATATGGCTGATGCTCTGGCAGAAGTGACACTTCTTGGGCTGAGGTGGCAGCTTGCATTCCTTGGCATGATGGTCTAGACCTCCACAATTGTAGCACCTAGTACAAAGCAAGATGGGAAAGGTGAGATAAAGCAGCAAGAGCTCAAAAGCCTCTTAGTGAAGACACCTGGGATCTGGTATGTAAAGCATGTCCTGTGCCCTAGGATTAGACAACCTTCACCTAACTTTGGCTTCCACTCTGGGCCCTTCACCTGGCCCAGCCTCTCAGTCACTCTGCACCCACCTATTCACCTGTTAGAAATAAGTTTAGACTTATTTCTAATCTTTCAGTAGGAGAAGACCAAGTCATGGGGCAACCCAATTAAAACCTAGTCCTCCCATGAAACATTTCAAGGTGGAGGAGGTTTCAGGAGGACACTATGGCAGAAAAGCCAGCTCTAATTGGCAAAAATGACCAATAGGTCACTATACTCACTTCCCTTCCTGGAGACGAAATTCCCCACTTAGAAAAGGAGAAATATTACTAGATGATCTCTTAAGTTCTTCCCAATCTGCCTAGATGACCTCTTCAGATTCATGTCAAGTTAAAAATACCTAGATAACAAGAGTAAAACCTGAAAAAACCTAGAACTTGAATATATAGAACCCCACTGGGAACTATGACTTGGAGAATAGGTGGGGTTTTTCTGTACCCTTAATATAGAAGAAATGTAAAAGCCAAATTATATCATGTGCTCAGAGCTAAGGGTTTAAGCCCAACAGTAAGATTAATAAAACCAGTCTTTTGGAGACCTGGTAAAGAAACATCGGATACAGATAAACCATCTTGTCCCATCATTTACAATTCATCGTCTCCTTTAGTTCTAAAATCATCGTGTGAGGGTAGCATCACTATTCTCCACTTAACAATTGAGGCCAGAGCTCACAGAGCAAAATCAATTGTTGTAAGTATAAGCGCTACATCATCCTCTAGTGCTGTCCTCACATACTGCCCTTGCCCACATCTATGGCAGACACCCCAGGCTTCACTTTACCTTGGCGACCTGGTCCAACAAAGTGACAGGATTTGGAGACTGGGGATGCCCCCTAGCAACCTACACAAGCTGCCTTCCAATCTGTACCTGTCTCCTTTTGATCTGCGCTTCTGCATGTTCTTTCCCTTTGGCCGCCTCTCACTCCCAATACAGAACACCCCACCAGGTCCAGTGACACGAATAGATTCCAGGCCCTTGGCAGACTTCTTAAAGGTGAACTCCACTGCCTCGCCTTCCTTCAGGCTCCGGAAGCCTTCCATGTGTAGCTTACTCTGGTGAAGGGAAATGTGGTAAATTTTAACATTAGTTTCTATTATTTTACCAAAAAACAAAAAGAAGCATACCTATTCCTGTAAGGCAAGGAGATCAAGTGTGCTAGAACTCCCATTTTACCAGTAAAAGAGTTACATCAAAAAGATGATTACATAAGCAGATGCCATAACATTTTTTGTATCTATTCAAGTTGCTTTGTAAAATTGGTGTGTCCACAAGCCTCCTTGAGCTATGGCCGCCACGTTTCTTGCTTTGGCCCCATTCCCTACCTGGGGAAGAGAATCTCCTCTCTCTTTCTAATTTACTTTCTGAATAAACTATATTTTCCAATCTTAAAAAAAAAGTTCTAAGCCAGGCTTGGTGGCTCAGCCTGTAATCCCACGCTTTGGGAGGCTGAGGTAAGTGGATTGCCTGAGCCTGCAGGTTCGAGACCTGCCCCGGCAACTTGACAAGACTTCAGCTCTACAATAAATCAAAAATTAGCCAGGCGTGGTAGCGTGCACCTGTAGATCCAGCTACTTGGAAGGCTGAGGCAGAAGGATTGTTGGAGCCCAGCAGGTCGAGGCTTCGGTGTCCAGGAGCAGGCACTGCACTCCAGTCTGGGTGACAGAGTGAGACTCCAACTCAGAAAACAAAAACAAAAACAAAAACCCAAAATACAACAAAATAAAGTTCTAAATAAAATAGAAGGAAAATTTCTAAATATAAGTATTTGTGAAAAAAATTAACAAATATAAAGGGCAACACTATAAATTAGCTGGGTGTGGTAGCGCATGCCTATACTTCCAGCTACTTGGAAGTTTGAGGCGGAAGGATTCTCGGAGCCCAGCAGGTTGATGCTGGAGTGGCCGTGAGCGTGCCTACCATTGCACTCCAGCCTGAACAACTGAGTGAGACTCCAACTCAAAAAAAAACAAAACAAAACCTCATGATGTTCAACAAGAAATAATCATAATGCCAGCAAAGCATATTTTAAAAAAAAACTCAGAATATATTTAACAAGTTTTAAAAAGCCTATATAGGAAAAAACAGATTGTATTAAAGGATATAGAGGTAGGACCTAAAAAAGAAAAACCCACAAAAATATACCAAGATCGTAGACTGGAAGATTTAGTAATTATAAAGGTCATAGGAAAACATAAATTGCCAATACCAGATAATACAGTTTACTTTAAATTGTATTTAATCAGCAGTGTAGCAATTACAAAGGGGAAAAAACAGAAGTTTACTGTGGAGAAAACTAGCAGATAACACCCTAGCCAAGTTCTTCAAGTTTAGCATTACCTGTAATAGGACATAGATATCTCCCTGATATAATGCTGTAAGGATGTATATGACCTTTAAAAATGTACACCTTGAATCTAGCCACGATTGAACATCAGACAAACCCAACCAAGGGACATTCTACAAAGGACTTCAAAAATGTCAAGGCCACAGAAAGACTAAGCCTCAAGAACTATTAGACAATTAAATGCAATACAAGATTCTGGATTGGATCCTGGGACAGAAAAAAATAGGACAAAATTTGCAAGCGGAATACAGAGAAATGTCAATATCAATGTTAAATTTCCTGATTATGATCACTGGACTGAGATTAGAAAAGACTATTCTTAGAAAAGACTAGCACATATTGAAAAATTTACAGGTAAAGATGCTTAATGTCTGCAACTTAAAGTTAAAAAGAACAAAATTAAAATTACCTGTACAGAAATAAAAATACTAAAACAAATGGGGCAAAATTGACTAAGTTAAGAATTGACTAATCTGGGTAAAAGCTATATAGGAGATTTTGTACAATTCTTGCAGCCTTTCTCTAAATTTGAAATTATATCAGGCCAGGTGCAGTGGCTCATGCCTGTAATCCCAGCACTTTGGGAGGCAGAGGAAAAATAATTGCCTGAGTCCAGAGTTTCAAGACTAGCCTGGGCAACTTGGTGAGACCTAGTCTCTATAATAAATAAAAAAATTAGGCAGGCGTGGTGACACCTGCCTGTAATTCCAGCTACTTGGAAGGCTGAGTCCAGCAGGCTGAGGCTGTGGTGGCTGAGAGCATGCCACTGTACTCCAGCCTGGGCAACAGAGTGAGACTCCTACTCAAAAAAAGAAAAAAGAAAAACAAAGAAGAAAAACTTTCAAAAACCAGTAAGAGAAAAGAATTGTACAACAGCATGTAAGTATGTAATTTGTCAAAAGTCAGCAGGACACATATACTCAGTATCTCATTGTTGGTAAATTTAAAAAAAGAAAGAAAATGGAGGTCAATGTGGTGGCTCTTGCCTGTAATCTGAGTACTCTGGGAGGAAGGAGGATTGCTGGAGCCTAGGAGTTCAAAACCAGCACAGGCAACATAACAAGGCCTTGTCTCTACAAAAAATAAAAATAAAAAACAGCTGGGCATAGTGGCACACGCAGGTAAGTCCCAACTACTCAGAAGGCTAAGGTGGAAGGATTGCCTGAGCCCAGGAGGTTGAGGCTGCGGTGAGCTATGATTGTGCCACTACACTCCAGCTGACAGAGAGTGAGACCCAACTAAAAATAAACAAACAAATAACGTATTACTTTATTTGGAGGGGAATGGTTGAATAAAATATGGTATATTCATAATAAGTAGTAAAAATCATGCAGCCATTTTAAAAAATGTCAAGTCTCTGGTTTGTTCACTGTTACCTTCTGGTACCTAAATACTGCCTAACACGTTATTTTTTTTGCATTGGAGTCTCACTCTTTGTTGCCCAGGCTGGAGTGGAGTGGCACGCTCATGGCCACTGCAGCCTGACCCCACTGGGCTTAGGCGTTCTTTCTGCCTCAGCCTTCCAAGTAGCTGGACCCACAGACCGACGCCACCACACCCAGCTAGTTTTTTGTGATTTATTGTAGAGAAAAGCACCAAGTTGTCCAGGCTGGTTTCAAATCCCCGAACTCAGGCAATCCTCTCGCCTCGACCTCCCAAAGTGCTGGGATAACAGGCTGAATCACCGTGCCTGGCCGCCTAACCCATTTTTGAATGAATTAATGAGCAAAGAGGTAGACATTTTTATCATTCAACTCAGTAAGATAACCAGATGATATTGTTGAAGGAATAAAAACAAGATTTAGAACAATATGTATGGAATGATTCCATTAAGACACTGCATGTTTGTACCAAAATTCTAAAACGATTTAAATTTTAAAGCAGTTAGCAAAGAACTTGGCAGCTTCCAAAAAGTTAGTCATGGCTGGGCTCGGTGGCTCAGCCTGTAATCCCGTGCCTTGGGAGGCCAAGGTGAATGAATTGCCTGAGCCCGCGGGTTCGAGACCCGCCTAGGCAACTTGGCAAGACCTCATCTCTACAATAAATCAAAAAAATTAGCTGGGCGTGGTAGCGCGCATCTGTAGTTCCAGCTACTTGGAAGACTGAGGCGGAAGGATCGCCAGAGCCCAGCAGGTTGAGGCTGCAGTGGCTGGGAGCGTGCCACTGCACTCCCGTCTGGGTGACAGAGTGAGACTCCAACTCCAAAAAAAAGTTAGTCATACAGCTAGTTGACCAGCAAAACTCTGGTCAGACAAAGTGAGTTTCTGGTTTAAAGTTCAGAACTCACCCTACTATACCATTTACTGCACCACCACCTTCACATTAATGAAGGTGACAGCATCTCTCAGACCCTACCCAGAATAGACTCCATTACAGTTTCATCTATTATAGTAAAACATAATAGATGAAGAGCATGGGAAATATGTCAACTAGGGTTGTTGTAACCACACCTGTAATCCCAGTGCTTTGGGAAGCAGAAGCAGGAGGATTGCTTAAGGCCAGGAGTTCAAGTTTGGTACAGTACTGGAACTCCACAAAAACAAAAAAATTGGCCAGGCATGATGGCATGAGCCTGTAGTCCTGACTACTCAGGACGATCACTGGAGCCCAGGAGTTCAAAGCTGCAGTGAGCTAGGATCATGCCACTGTAGCCTAGTGTGGGCAACAGAGCGAGACTCTGTCTCTTAAAACAAAAACAATATATATATCTGCAAGGAGTAGTCACCATAGAAAAATGAGGTTCAGAGAAGCAAAAAGGGATCGTTGTGTACCTACCTAGTCCTGGCTCAAGGGAACATAAACAAGTAGCATTAGTATTTAAGCTGGTGAGTGGGTAGGACATATTCCTTACCAGGACTTAGACGAATCATGGTCTTTGGCAAAATGGGATCCACAAATTCCTCAATCATTTAAATTTTTGTTTTTAATTAACATGGTATTGTAAAAGAAAAAACTTCCATTTTAGTTCATTGATTAAGAGTATGGGATCTGGAACCAGACACATCCTGCTTCATGAAATGCTGGTTTACGAATTACTGGCTGTGTGACCTTGGAACTCATCTTTGGGCCTCAGATCCTTGAGCATGGGAACACAGCACCTATCAACCTAATGAATTCTAACCAAGATTATGCAGGCATGGAAAAGATCAAGTGTTCAGTAAATACTTAATGTCTCGTTACTTGTAGCTGTCCCACCACAGAAATATTCCAAAGGCCTGGAATCCTTTCACTTGTTTTTATGCCCATAGAAACACCCAGGGACGTGATGATCACACACCCCATCCTCCGTGTGCCCCAACTTGATGTGGGGGAAGAGGCAGAACATTAAAGGAGGAAATAAAAGCACTGCAAAAACAAAAGGACCTCTCCCCTTGCTCGGTCCACAGTAACCACCCTGAATTTAAAGTTAGATTTGACTTGCGTCTTATTGAACAGGGACAAGAGATGGGAGGTACTGCAGGAGCCAGATGATGAGCCTTCTTGACCCAGGCAGTTCCAGCTTCATTCATTTGCCTAGGCTTAGACTGAGATACTCCCAGTTCCAGCTGTTATTCCATAGGTAATTCCACAGTTAAGTGATTAAGGACAAGGGCTGAATCTGAGGGCCTGTTCCCTCTTCTTTCGTTAATCATCTATAAAACAAGCCAGGCATGCTGGCACACACTTGTTAATCCCAGCACTTTGGGAGGCAGAGGTGAGAGGATTGCC